CAGAGTGCAGAAAATAATAATTCATCCTCATCAACATATTTACAGGAAATATTCAGAAAGTATCAGTAGCACAAAAACACATGTGAATTCAAATTGAGTGAAAGTCCTAATGAAAAGCAAGGAAAATCATACATCGTAAAAAAAAAGTGTTGTTATTGGCGTTACAACATTAACATTGGCACAAAACATGCTGTGCTGTACAAGAATAAGTCAAAAGACATCAGTACAATACATTTATACATTGGTACACTGTGTATTTATATATTTTTATTCCACCGATTGAGTATTTTTCTTGCTACTGATTACTGCAATGATAATAATGCAAATATTGAACATATAGATTCTTTAGAATAATAAATATAAATTTGAATGAAAAAGAACATCCTGAGATTCTTCTGAAATGTTTAAGTACTCTGTTCATGAGTAAACTAGCCCTTATAGTTATAGCTTTCTCTGTGCCTTTTTTGTTTCCTCTCGAATACTTCTTGGTTGTAAATGAGGGCACACAATATCCTGAGCTATTTCATCATATCTTAAGCTTCTTGATTGATGACACTGGTTTTGTCTGGTGTAACTTAACTGGCCTTTAGCTGGTGGTTCTCCACAATCCCTGGGTTAGTGGTGGTCTTCATCCTGGCAATGCGGTTCTGGTTGTTGCTCTTCATTGACCGCTTCAGGGAGGACAAGCGACTGCGGAAACCTTCTCCAGAAAAAAAGTAAAGCAGTGGATCGAAGCATGAATTGGCAGCAGCCAGGCTTAGTGTCACTACAACAGACTTCTGCATGGCAATCTGCTCCGAGCAGGGGGCATTTTTCCTGGACAGGGAGTTCAGGTGGATGGTGCGCTGCACGTGGTAGGGCATGAAGCTGATGAGGAAGGTCAGCAGGACAATGACGATCATCCGAATGACTTTGGTGTCCGTGACCCGCTGACGTCGGGCGGTGTGGTTGCGGTACAGCAGGGCGCGCACTATGCCAGCGTAGCAGACCAGTATGACCAGGAAGGGCAGGATGAAGCCCACCCCGAGAGACAAATAGTTCAGCACAAGAAGTTTCTGCACATTTCCAGGTTTTGGAGGTTCAAAACATTTGGTTTTATTTGTTAACTGGTCCATTGACTGACCGGACATCAGGAAGGGGGAGGATAAGAGACAGATGACGACCCAGATACACACACACACCAGCCGGGAGCGGTTCTCTGTCACCAGCCGCATGTTCTGCACAGGGAACACAATGGCCAGGAAGCGTGTGAAGGACATGGCCGCCATGAAGTAGATGCTGCAGTAGAGGTTGACGTAGAGGGCGTAGGAGCTGATGCGGCAGAGGAAATCGCCAAAGTTCCACTGGCCCTTTTTGACGTAGTAGACCACTCGCAATGGCAATGTCATGACACACAGCAGGTCAGACACACCCAGGTTCAGCATGTAGACGTGAAATGGGGAGCTCTCGCGGTACGTTCTTATCAGCACCACCAGGGCCAAGCCATTCCCAACCAAGCCTAAGACGGTGATGAGAGAGTAAGCTGTGGAGTAAACCTGGTTACGGAAGTCATCAATGGAGTCACAATGTGTGTTGTTGTCCTCCATGATGTTTGTCAGATTTGACTCCTTCTTTGTCTGTAGCTGCAGAGAAACAGAGAAAGGACATGATGATGTGTGCAACAGAGCGTGTGAAAGACAGAGAGAAACTACAAAAAAATTGGCCGCAGAGCAGAATGACTGAGATGTGGCAGATTGTCCCAGAGATAGTCTCAATATTCTGCTGATGAGGAGGAAACTCATAAAGTAAAACCATTCTAGACCTATTTCCTGTTGACGTGTCAGAAGTTATAGCTTTTTCTTCTTGGTGAAATAATCTTTAAAAAAGACCATCATTCAAGCCACAATGCCAAATACCAACCTACTTCTGGCATCCTGCCTCAGACCACAGAAATCTTCAAACCCATTTTAATCTCAAGTTTTGTGATGGGAATTAGGCCCAGGGTGTAGAATGGATACTTAGGTAGGGTTAGGGTTAGGGCTAGGGCTAGGGTTTTGGGGAACGTGCGGCGCTCCGTAGGAGCGCAGCGTGGTGCATGGGCTCTCGGGTCAATATTTTGTGTTTAAAAACCTATTTAAAAACTCCTGTAGTAAAACCAATAAAAGTTTATAAAAGCCCTGTTTGGTCTGGGTTAAAAATGTTTTAAAAAATGGAATAAAAGGGATAAAAGAGAGCAGCGGCTGCAGCACAGAGCGTATGCGGCGGGGTTAAAACCTGTACTCCTGCCCCCCCGAGGGGGTCTCCCCCGGTGGAGTGTCCGAGGCTGCGTCCCACAGCATCTGGTAAAAGACCTGGTAAGTGGGTTAAAAAACATCTGGCTAAAAGGACCGAGGTTTACTTTGTTTAAAATCGGCATGCAGGTCAAATTTGTGTTAAAAAATGATAAAATAAATACATAAAAGTGCTTTTAAAGTGCTGGTAATAAAAATCACATCAACCCAAAATGTTAAAATATGTATAATATAAAACAAATATGTAAAATATAAAATACACATGGGTTAGTAGGCACACAGGGAGGGGAAATATCTTAAAGGGGACCTATCATGCAAAATGCACTTTTGTACGTCTTTTATACATGAATATGTGTCCCCGGTGTTCCAGGGAACTCACCAAGTGTCAGAAAACACAACCCTCTCTATTTTCCTCCATACCCAAATCTCTAAAAAAGGGGCTGCAACGGATCTGATAAAAACTGATCCAGATTTGAACACTGTCCTGACGTCAGGACGGTGGCGCTACGGCTATTGGGCCAACTCCACCAATCAGGAGGAGACCGCCACGGCCATTGCCATTCGAAAGCGCTGGAGACGCTGTAGTACATATGCCAGGCCAGTAGATGGTGCTGTTCTCACTGAATCTGCCCCTGCACAAACAGAGCTATAAATTGTCAAATTGAGCAAAATGAGGCATGGCTAAAATGCATGATCTGTTTGGTATAAATATGCCTTATATAGGTATGGTCCTATACTATATTATTCAAATATAGCATGATAGGTCCACTTTAAAATAAAGTCAACCAAGTGTCCCTAAAAGTGTTTAAAACCCAGGCCGAGGTCTAGAGAAGTGGTGCAGGTGAGACATGGGACACGCCTCGGATGATGTTTAAAAATACTTTATTAAGGGGTTATTTCAGGGTGTTTCCCTGCGGGAGGCTCCAACATCCATTTCAAAATGGAAAGTAATAACTAAAATGTAAATGAAACAATATAAACAATGTTTAAATAGAAAACGGGGGATTGATAATATATAAAAAATAATAAAATATATAATCTCCTCATTTGAAACCTAATGACATAAGAAAACATGCAATACAGTGCAAACATGAAATAAACTGTGACGTGCTATGTCTGCAAAGGCTAAAATCATATTTGCCTCCTTTAACAGGATACACCTAAACCATTGCTCGAGCAGCTTGTTGGTTTTAGAATGTGCAGAATCAGTTAAACCTTTATATATACAGTCTATAAGTTTAACAAAGACCACCTATATCACATGCTTTTTCATTGTTGTTAGGTCTAGGGTTAGGGTTAGGGAAGGGCTGCCCCTGGCCAACTTGTGGCCCCACGCAAAGTTGTGTCATGAGGCCCCCGGGTCTGTACCCAAGTCGTCACTCATGTTGTCGCGAGCACGGGGGGGATGCTAGTGGAGCAGGCTCGTGAACTGTTAACTGCCGCATAATTGCGCCGCATAATTGCGCTGCATTTGCGCATACAGTAAGATGAATTGCACTGCATTTGCACATAAGATGAGGCCCCACGCACTCTGCGTGATCTGCGTGGAGGGAGGGGCGGGCCAGGGTTAGGGTTAGGTTTGTGTTTGGGTCAGGGCCACGCCCATCTTCAGACTCTACCTTTATTTTGATCTCAACGATACATCTGCAAAGTTTGTCACTGCCTCTTGCATGGTTGTGCACTATCGCGGTGACAAAAGTATTTGCACTGACACACAAACAGCCACAAAGACACACAGGGAGAAGAACTTGACCAGTCGATGGCACCGCTGGTAATGAGCAATTTCTGTGTCTGCTGTGCAAGACAATTGAGAAACACTATGCCTCTAATGGGAACCATCCTGTATGTTGCTTGTCTGCGTATGGACAAATTATTGTCACAACATTGCAAGATGCAGTCACAAAACTAAACAAATGTGTAGTTGAGATCAAAATGTCAGTGCTCCAAGAAAATTTCGCAATTGCTCCATCCTGCTGGAAGCCGGTCTGTTTTGTTCATGATGAATTCAGACAGAGTACAACCAACGCTGGCTAAATTCCATAAAGGGATTAAACACTAATGAATACTACTGTACTGAAGGAGACAGAAGAACATGCCAAAATGTAGGTGTTACCATATTAATCAGCACATCAGTGATGAATCTTTAAGTAACCAGCATACTTTTTAATTTCATTGTTCCATCAACTGCAAGCCTCAATTAAAATCAAAAAGGCATTTAAAGAAACCTTTTTCAACTGCTTATTTTTAAAGCTGGGTTTAGTCTCTTTATTGTGGGTTTTATGATTGTATTTCCTCTCGGTTGGGTTTTATTTCCACTAAATTGTCACTGCTGTCATTGTCTTTGCCAAGTCGCCCTAGAAAAAAAGATTTCTCACTATTCCTGGTTAAAAAAAAAAGGTTACATGATAAAATACATTATATTTAATCCATTCTGTGAATCAGAATACCATGCACATCACTGTAGTTTGTGTAGTGATAAGTAAATGTTATCAAATCATATTTGCATTCATACTAATTGACTAATTGCACAATCGCTCTTGTTTGTCTTTTGAGTGAGAGAGCTATACACTGTACAATCTGCCAATGTGCTCATACCCTGGGTGTAACAGGGTTATCACCACATGCTCTAACTGTAATTTTTAGTCAGTTACTTCCCCTCATCAACATTTCTGAATTAGTAAAAAGTTTTCCTTACCACTGAGTTTCAGTTTGTTGTCCGATTGTTTCTCTTCTCTCCTGGTCGGTGTGCATACAGCAGCGCAGCTTCAGTATGTGTGTCCTGTCTCTCTCTCTCTCTCTCTCTTGTGTGCCAGATGTTGTAGCACTGAGGGGAGGACCCTGCTGCAGGTGGCTGCTTCCTCACACACTCCTATCACGTCTCTTCTACTGTGCAGCGCAGAGATATCCAACCCAGTGACATCATGAACAAAAAGCCACACATTTATGATAAATGATAAAAAGAGAGTGATCTTTTTAAGTTGTCCAGACATCAGTTATCCTATGATATTTAAACATTTGCCTAACTTACTCAGTCGCACTGTTGAAATATAAATGTGTACTGTCTCTGTCCTCCAGTGTATTATTTGCTTAGACTGTCTGACCTGTTCGACCGTAACTGTATACACAGTCTGGAAGTTTTATTGTTTACATTAAGTGACACCTTATTCATATTGTTGAACGACAGAGCCAATATCACGCGCTGTACCTGAGGTATGAGGTTGTCAAGCAAAGGAGACACCCTATTATGCTTTTTGGGGTTTTCCCATTCCTGTAGTGTGTTATATAGGTTTTTGAATGGTCTGCAAAGGCTAGAATCCCTGAGTTCCCTCCAGAGAGAGTTTCAAACCAACCCCCCCCCCCCCCCCCCCCCCCCCCCCTTCCTGAAACGCCTCCATTGGACTCCTTAGTTTTCTTCCGTAACATACTGACATCACTATGTAACACTCACACTTTTATTGGGCTAGCTCCAACACATTGTACGCTATAGGCTAAGGGCGGGACATCTCTTCGTAGTTGAGCCAACCAGCTAACCAATCAGAGCAGACTGGGTTCTGGTTTCAGACAGAGGCTGAAAAGAGGTGCTGCAGCACAGGCAGTATGAGAAAATTAAAGAGCTTTTTGAACATTAAAGCTTGTAAACATGTCACAGTAGAGGCTCAACCTACAAATATGAACCTGAAAATGTGCATAATAGGGTCTCTTTCATGGTCAACCAACCATCCTTGTTTATTTACGATCAAATAATTTAATTTCTTCCACATAATTTCCTTTGTATGTTGCTAATGAGAGTGATTTGCAGTCAGTAAATGGACTGCGGATACTGCTGTGGAAATTAGCAAACTCATATTTGCAGCTGAAAGGCCTTTGTGTTGGAAGAGCAGGATAATTCATCTATAACTCAGTTAGTGGTAAAGCACCAGCAAAGCCAAAGCATTCATCCCTGCTTGAGGCCCCACGCAAAGTTAGATGATGAGGCTCTCTGTTTCGCGAGCATCCACGCTGCTAGTGGAGCCTCGCAGCGGCGACACATGCCGCACCACACTAATTGCGCTGCATAAACGCATAGGTGCGCGTGATCTTCCTGTAGGGAGGGACGGCCCTGCCTGTTTGCACTCAGGAGGCGTCTGTATCGACACTACTGACTGTACATGACCAGACATTTATTTATGCCTTATTAGCTCGATAATGCATTCAGTGCACCGCAACAAATTATTAATGATAGAGGCAGAGAGCTGCGATAAGTGTTTTGACCCCTCTGAGAGATGTTGAAAGTGCAGGCGTAGTTATCTCATCTTAAATTCTCTAATGTAGCCAGCTAAGGCTCGGAGCCATGCTTTTGTTCCACCGCACATGTAGAAATGTTCAGCATATAACCATGCTCTGTTTGACTTAATGGTTCACACATAGCGCAGTGATTGAGGTATTTTTGTTGGATACTCTACACAATCACTTCACTTAATCGTACATCAACGACGCCAAGGAAACTGCATTCATCAACAAGTTTATCAGTTCTTGTAACAAATCCAACATGAGCAGCAAATTCAAAAATATACAGTACGAGCAAAAATAACAGCAAAAATCACAACCTGGCTGGATGAACAGGTGGTTGACAATAAATGAGGTTAAATTGTTAACATAGGTTCAGGAGCATGGCCACGCCTAAAACTCCGCCTCGAACCACGGCCACCCCTATTTATATCCGGCAAAACTGTCTCTAAATTATGCGGAGCCCCCTCCCACCCGGCCTCAGCATGCTCAGTCAGCGCCCCACCACCCGAGCCACCCTGCTCACTCCCCTTTCCATCAAGAGGCAACGCCTCAACCTTCAACCGCCTATCACCTTAATCTCTGCCCAACACCAGTTCATCCTCAAAGCAGCACACATCCCAGGTCATGAGAATGGCATCGCTGACTCTTTGTCTCGTTTCCAATTTCAGAAATTCAGAAACTTAGCCCCAGAGGCGGATCTCCATCCCATACCAGTCCCACCGTTTTCAGCCACCACATTCAACTAAACCCACAACTGGAACAACTCTCACACGCTTCACGGGAAGCCATCCACAACAGCCTTGCCCCAAGCACCTTGTCAGCCTATCTCACCGGCTGGAATTGCTTTAAGGCATATCACGGCGCATACCAGCTACCATTCCCCACTCTGGACGTCATATCCGTCTGCAATTTCATTACTCACGCTCATTCCATCCGTAAGTGCCGGACATCCACCATTCAGACATACTTGGCCGGAATTAACTTCTTCATTAAAATAGCCAGCGGCCAACCATGTCCTTCCACGTCCCATAGCCACGTCACAATGCTTATCAAAGGCTTACGTAAGCAGGAACCCTCCCTCACAGCCAAACGACTGCCACTCACTTCCGACCTTCTCAGCCTCTGCATCCGTTCCCTACGCTCAGGATACTTATCACCAATGGTCGACCTTACCCGAGAATGCATGTTCCTGCTAGCATTCTTCGGCTTCCTGCGATGCTCCGAATTCGCACCCACTTCATCCGCGTACAACCCTCACCACCACCCCAGCCTATCCGACATATCCCTCCACACAAACGACTCTCTCATATTCACACTCCGAAGGAGTAAAACAGATCAGCTGGGAATTTCTTTCCCCATCCACATCTTCCGCCTGAACTCGTATCTCAGCCCATACGAGCCACTAACCAAATACCTCAGCGCAAGGTACGCTGCACACGCAACGCCTCAACACCCACTCTTTCTCACCGAAACAGGGAAAATGGCCACACGTTTCTGGTTCCAGAAACAATTCCACAATGTCTTGCTTATTTCGGGGATATTCTCAGAACACTATTCGAGCCATTCCTTCCGCATTGGCGCAGCGTCCACAGCAGCGAGACTGGGCATCTCTGACCAAACCATCCAGGTCCTGGGCCGCTGGTCATCCCAAGCTTACCACACTTACATCCGTAACAATCTCAATGATCTCAGACAGGCACACGCTCAACTCAGTTCCATTTAATCCAACTCTTTTGGGGGCCCGTAATCAGCCCACGCAGATCATGCCGGAGACGGAACCCCCACTCTGAGTCTCCCACTGCACGGACCACAGCTCGTCCTCCCAGAACATCCCTTCACCCCCCTCATATCATTCACATGTTACTTCAATAAACTTACAAACATCACACTGTTTTGGCGTGGTTCCTGCTAGTGAAATGAGGTTAAATTGTTAACATAGGTTCAGGAGCATGGCCACGCCTAAAACTCCGCCTCGAACCACAGCCACCCCTATTTATATCCGGCAAAACTTCCGGCCACTGCTTGTCTCCATCCTTTCAATCCACCCTCCCTCTCCCTTCTACTCATACAGTTCCCCTTCCGACTCACACCGAGCGATACATCCATCCATCCCTTCTTCCCTCCCTCCCCTCAACATCCCTACATCCCTCCATCCCTCATCCCTTCATCCCTCATCCCTACATCCCTCCATCCCTCATCCCTTCATCCCTCATCCCTACATCCCTCCATCCCTACATCCCTCATCCCTACATCCCTCCATCCCTACATCCCTCCATCCCTCATCCCTTCATCCCAACATCCTCTGCCCGTCACCATTTATATTTAAGCTGTGCATATTTATATACTGTGTATACTAACATTTTAATTCCAGGTATCGTCTGGGGGCCCGTAATCAGCCCACGCAGATCATGCCGGAGACGGAACCCCCACTCTGAGTCTCCCACTGCACGGACCACAGCTTGTCCTCCCAGAACATCCCTTCACCCCCCTCATATCATTCACATGTTACTTCAATAAACTTACAAACATCACACTGTTTTGGCGTGGTTCCTGCTAGTGAAATGGAGGTTGAGTGGAGTGCAGTAACATGAGCTGTTATTGTTGTTGCATGCATCATAATTGCAGCAATTTGCAAAATCCAATAATGAGAGTGGGAAGTCAAAATGCTTAATAGATTAAGTGCATCTTCTTGGCCACAATGATCTGGTTCTTATTTGTTTGTGGATTTTTTACAGAGACATTTTATATCATTTATAGTTTGCTCGTAAGACCACTGTATCAGGATCTATTCTACTGATGGTATACGGGTCAACTGTGTTTTGTTTAAGTCAAGATGTAGGAAAAACATATCTGCCCCAGGAAATCAAGTAATGGCTCTGCTCCATGTAGGTGTGCCAAAGAGCAAGCCGGTACAATAACAGAACATGGATATTTGAAGAGAAATGGATACAGCGTTGGATATAGACGAGTTGGGATCGCAGAGAAATGCTCTCCGCAGACCCATTCTCACAGCGTTTATCAACCTTTTTCTTACTCAATATCAAGCCACACTTATTGTTTTTACTTCTTTATTTTAATTGTATTATCTCAGATTTTTGTTGCCGTCAGAGAGTAAGGGCTCAGAATACTGAAATCTGTATTGTTTCATCGTTTTTTCCTTCTAATTTTGTATTATTTTCTAAAACACACATTTACTCAACAATAACACACAATTATCCTTGTGTTTATTTATTTGTTTGATTGTATAATGTCGGACCTTTGGAGTCCGTCAGGACCGAGGGTCGGAGCAGCTCATTCGAAAACAGGAAGCTGTATTTTCAAAATAAGAGTTCATTTTTTGTTTGATAATATATTTGTTATGAACTAGACCACTGGGTCATGTTAACCCTTAGATGCATAAGTGGTTATTTTTTGACCCGGTGAGGTGGTTTTCTTGAAGTATCTTTGTAATTACATGTTTTTATCATTTCATATTCCAGCTATTCCTCAAACAACATGTTTGGGATATCATGCCATTCAAATTTTAAATTG